GAAAATAGAATAGGATATTGGAATAAAGAGTAGAGTAGAATAGAATAGAAGAATAGAATATAGGGGATAGAAATTAGAATAGAATAGAATAGAATTAGAATAGAATAGAATAGAATAGAATAGAATAGAATAGAATAGAATAGAATAGAATAGAATAGAATAGAATAGAATAGAATAACAGAGTTGGAAGGGACCTTGGAGGTCTTCTAGTCTAATTCCCTGCTGAGGCAGGAAACCCTACACCCATTTCAGACAAATGCTTATCCAACATCTTTTTAAGAACTTCCAATGTTGGAGCATTCACAACTTCTGGAGGCGAGCAGTTCCACGGGTTAACTCTTCTCACTGTCGGGAAATATCTCCTCAGTTCTAGGTTGCCCTCTCTCCTTGATTAGTTTCCATCCGTTGCTTCTTGTCCTGCCTTCAGGGGCTTTGGAGAATAGCTTGACTCCCTCTTCTTCTTTAGTGGCAGCCCCTGAGATATTGGAAGGCTGTTATCGTGGTCCTTCTTTTCATCGGACCAGACACACCCGGTTCCTGCAGCCGTCCTTCGTTACGTTTGAGCCTCCAGTCCCCTAATCAAAAATCCCACAGCTTCCCCGCAGCTTCCCCGCTTCTGAGGGAAAGAGCATCTACCGTAGAGAGGCCTGCTTTCAATTCTGAGGCCTGTCCTCAATTTTTTTAAGTAGCTTTTGGAGATCTGTTGATTGGCCCCACAGCCTCTCTGGAATCAAGCTTCACCCCATTTGACCTCTTTTTTCTTCTTTTTTTAGGGGAATTGCTGGTTTTCAGCATGCCGGTCGTTTATGAGAAATATAAGGTAAGGTAACTTCGGTCCCAAGAATTCTGGGCAAGCCATTTAGGAATATTAATAATAATGATAATGATAATAGGGTTTGTGTCTCCCAGGATTGCTGAAATAATGGGATTTTGGAGAAAGTTGATGACTTTGACAATATTAAGGGACTTTGGCCACTTCCTGGCTTTTTTTTATCTAGATAAAACAACAACAGGGAATCGCAAACTTCTTCTCAAGCTTTGAAACATGCAGAGAACAGGGCAGTGTGTTCAAAAAAAAAAAAAAAAGAGGAACAGAATTTGTGATCCCATTTTGGGGGCATCTGGACAGCTTGTTAGGACTGGAAGAGTAAATAAGAACGGAAGGCGATGTGTTTTATTTCTTCTTTATTTTTCAAGCATGGAATATTGCTGCATTCTTTTTCAGCATTTTATTCCCTCTCGCGTTGTTTTTTTAAATGGGGAACAGAAAATTAAGAGGATGGGGACTTGTGTTGAAAGTCTAAAGATAGGGTTTTCCCGACCTCGGGCACCTTTTAAGACATGTAGATTTCAACTCTCAGAATTCCCAAGCCGGCAAGGCACAAAGCAGGACTGGCTGGGGAATTCTGGGAGTTGGTCCACATGTCTTCAAGTGCCCGAGGTCGGGAAACACTGGCCTAAAAGCAGGAGGCGACAGACCAGAGCTATGAATGGGAGAGAGGAGGAGGAGGGGTCAAACACATCATCAGTCTTGAGTCTCTTCAAGCCCACAAGAGATCTGAGGCCAGGCCACCATGAATTCCATTGAAATCCCAATATGTTTGGACAGCAATTCACATTCTTGTAGAGAGAATAACCTTGCAATAAACTCTTCATTTGAACTGCTACCACCTTGGGCAGAGTTGTATAAAATTTGACAATGTATGACCCTCTTTGCTGTCCCTGACTACCTTCCCTGTTGCCTTTGGTCCTCAGACTCAGATCGACCATTATGTCGGGATCATCCGGGATCAAGCCAAATCCGCCATGACAAAGTGAGTAGCGTGAAAAGACACTGAGAGCAGTTCTAGGCAGTCTCTGAGGTGGAAATGAAGAAGGCTCTGTCTCATAGTTGTGAGACATTTCTCCCCACTGCCAGCTGCTCAGAATGGGTGGAGGTGGTTTAGGTGTGCTAAGGGGGGTGGGGGTCTGTCCCAGGACTCCCCTTGGCCCTTAGCCCAAACTGAGGTAGTTGGGCTTCACAGGGGAGGAGGGAAGGAAGGAAGGAAGGAATGGAGAGTGGGAGGGAAGAAGGAAGAGGAGGAAGGGCAAAGAAAAATGTGAAGGAAAGGAAGGGATCGACATACGGGAAGGAAAGAGAGAGATGATAAATAGGATGGATGGATGGAAGGAAGGAATGAAAAGGAGGAATAGTGGGTTGGAAGAAGGAAAAGAGGGAGGGGAAAGAAAAATGAGAAGGAAGGGAAGGAGAAAGGGATCGACAGATGGGAAGGGAAGAGAGAGATGATAGAGGAAGGAAGGAAGAAAGGAAGGAAAAGGAGAAACTGGGTTGGAAGAAGGAAAAGAGGGAGGGGAAGGAAAGAGGGGGAGGAAGGAAGGGAGGGAGGGAGGGAAGGAAATTTCACTTTGCTGGACAATCAAAAATCGTAGCCTCCACATTTGACAATCAAATATGAAACCTCTTAAAAATAATTGGGGGATTACGGATATTAAAAATGCTCAAAGGGCTATTAACCGTCCTCCCCTTCTGTTTTTACCTTTATCTCTTATTTTCTCCCTCCCCTGGGCTGGTGAAGGCTCTCAGAAGCAAATACTCTTCTGTTTTAAGCTTCCTCAGTCCCTCCCAGAGGCCAAAAAAAAAAAAAAAAAGGAGGCCTTTGCAAGCCGTTCAATCTCCGTCCTTAAAAAAAGAATTGAAAATCGGCTACAGCCAGAACCCACCGGGGAGTTTTCCGCGGCGCTGCTCCTCCGTTCTCAGGGCCTTTCGTTCTCTCTTTCTTCCCCCAGGATCCAAGCGAAGCTGCCCGGCACCGTGAAGAAAAAGCCCGAATAATCTTCTCCGGCACACGAAGACCCAGCCATTAACAAAATCCACACCACCACCACCAACAACAACAACAACAAAAAATTTACTCCCTTTGTGTCATGGCTATAATCACTGTTACTCGTATCTTATGAAGGAACTTGCCAAGTCAGCTTGATGTCTGCGTTCCAAGCTTACTGATTGTGTTTTATTATTATTATTATAATATTGTTATTATTATTATTATTATTACCATCATCATCCTCACCCCTTCCCTCCCCAAAAGCCGAAACACTGAGCTCTTCGTAATGCACTGGAATAATCATGAACTGGTTTATCGGGTAGTTTTAAAAACTTGAGAAAAGGGGGTGGGTGGGTGACGGCTTTGGAAAGAGCCCCCTGCAAGCGGGGAGGGGGGGGGAATCCTTGGAGATAAACACCCCCACCTCCCACCACCCCCCCATCGTTCCTCAGTTTCCCCCCAGAGGGAAGGAAAGTTTCCCTTCGCTCCCCCCACCCTCCTTCCCTGGTGAAATGTGGGGTCTCCAATTTGGGTAGGTGGGTGGGTGGATGAAGGAATCTGCTGCACCAGCTTTGCAGCTTCCTTATCCCCCCCCCAAAAGATGTTCTTAATTAAGGAAGCTCTGGGCAGCCTTTCTCTCCCCCCCCCCCAAAAAAAATAGAAATATTCTGCGTCCCCCATCGTGACTTCGCTCCTTCTCTTTCTTTTAGCTCATCCTCCATTTTTTCTTCCTTCCCTCCACCCGAATCCTGTATATATATTTTTTTCTTCCTCCGGTGTGTGATCCTGAACTGAAAAAAAAAAGTCTGCAACTGCTGTAACAAATGGCTGTCCTAAAAACACACACACACACACACACACAAATTCAAACCCCCCCCCTCCACTTCCCTCTTTTTCATCCCGTTTTAGCCTCAAAAGGCAGCCAGGAATCCCTCCCTCTTCTTCCTTCAAAGACCTTCCCTCGTTTTTTCGTTTTTTTCTTTTCCCCTTCCCCTTTTCTCGATTCTTGCTTTGGGAAAAAGAGAGAGAGAGAGAGAGAGGAGCATGGCCAAAATTCAGATTCAGGGAAGAGCAAAGAGGCTAGTCCTCGTGGAGGTGCGCAGCCTTTGGGGCAGAGAAAGTTTTTTTTAAGTAAAATAAAATAAATTCCCGGGGATTTCCATGGCTGTTTTCCCTTTCCAGCGAAAATGGAAACTTAACTGGGCTTTGAAAGAGAGAGAAATAAAGAGGCCGTATTTGTTGACAGGCTGACAATTGAGGGGTAGGGGGGGATTTTTTTGGGGGGGGGGAGGAAGACCCCGAAAAGAAATAGGAAGCTGATATAGGAAGGGTTGCCTTCCCCACCCCAGCCGAGGCTGCCCCGGTTCCTTCCCCTTCCCGCACCCCACCCACCCAGGCTCGGGGGAGACCCTCGACGAATCTGGCTCAGTAAGACCACCCCACCAAGGAGAAAAGCCCCACGGGGTAGAGCGGCCGGCTGGTTCTTGGGGTGCCACTCAGGCACCCCGTTTTTTTCCCCCCGAAAAAGAATTGCAGGCATTTCCAACATGCTTCTATGCCACCCTCTGCTCCCGAGGAGAACCCCCCCCAAGCCTCTGATTTCTCTCTCCCCCCTTCAAAAAAAAACCCCCTCCCCACCTTTCCCCCCCTCCCCCAAAATACCCCTTTTAAAAGCCTTTTTCTGCACCCAGATGCTTCCAACATCTGTTCCTGTCACTGCTGTGTTTGCCTGCTGTGGAACAAGACGCCCTTTTGCGCCCGGGCAGACTTTATTTTTTATTTTTAAAAGAATGTATAACGTAGATGGCAAAAAACAAGAATTACCCACAACGGCGGCCCTTCGCATCCGATGTGCTTTATAATGGGACGGGGGGCGCCAGGAAAGCTTGAGGCTTAACAGTGTGGGGTGTGGGGGGGGGAAGAGGGGGGGTTCTCGACTGTCCTTTGATGTGGTGTTGAATAATAAAGGAGCACTTGGTGATCTCGAATCTTTGGTTTCCACCCCCCCAAAAAATTAAGAGAGCAACACGAAACCGGGACGGTGGCGTCGTCCCTTCGAGGCAGCGCTTGTGGATTTTGAAACGCTTCAAAACTTTTTTTTTTTTGCAATTAGAAAAAATGAAGGCAATTAACCCTCTTTTGGGGGGATGGTGGCCCTTCCCCCATGCCCTCAAATCTGTTGTGCTTTTGGGGGTCCGGTTGCCTTCATTTTTTAATGGCACAGCAGCGTCCGCTAAAGAGTAACCAGTTTATATTTCATATTTCTTAACACACGGTGTGGCGGTGAAGGCGTCAAACTAGAATAGAGGCCTTCAAACTTGGCAACAGCTATGCTGGCTGGAAAATTCTGGGCGTTGGAAGTCCATAAGTCTTTAAAAATTGCCAAGTTTGGGGACCCCTGAGCTAGGAGATGGGGAGTTCTAGTACCACCTTGGGCACAAAGCCAGCTGGGTCACCCTGGGCCGGCCCCATTCTTCCAGCCCTAAGAAGGTGGCAATGGCAAAACCCTTCAGAAAAACCTTGCCAAGAGGTTTCTCTAGGCAGATTCCGAGAATCAGACACAACTAAATGGAAAAGGGGTGGGGGGATCAGCTTAAGAACAATTGAATGACCCATATTTACTTCCTACTTAATTTGGGAGGTTGCCCCCCCCCCCCAAAAAAAACCCCACCCCCCCAAATAGTTCCATAGTTGGTGCTAAGCAAGGGCCAGCCTGGTTGAGTTCTTCCCTGGCATTGCGTTTGTCTTAAGATGCATCTCCAAGATTGGCGGCTTTTAAGACTTGTGGCCTTTCGACTCCCAGAATTCCCCAGCCTGGATTTCCTTGATGGGTGGGGGATTCTGGGAGTTGGAAGTCCACAAGTCTTTTAAAAAGTTAACCCTTTTGGAGAGCCCTGGTTTAAGATGAGGAATGTGACAACTTGCTTGATTGCCAACACCAGAATCGGCTCATGGTTGAGCTCCCATCAAATGGCTAGAAACGGCAAAGCAGCTGGTCATCCACTCCATTTTGGGGGGAAGGACACTCCAGAGGCAAAAGGTCACCTCAGCTGGACAACAGCCGAAGGCCACAGGCACAGCCACCTGGAAGTGAAGAGAAAACCTGCAAAACAGCAAAATCTTGTATTTTCTGATCCAACATCTTTGCCTTCCATGATGGCAGATTGCTTCCTTCTCCTCTCCAGAGATGGCCAGGATTCGAACGCACTTCCTTGCCCATCCCCCCCCTTTGAAAATAGCCCACCTGGGGATCTCCCAGTCTTGGCACTCGATCTCATACTGCAAAACCAGATCCACACGATCTAGTGTTTTGTTTTTAAACTCCCACAGCAGCAAAAGGGAAAACTCGTGAGGCCCCAAAACTTTGCAAAGAAGGAGCCTTCGGAGTTTTGTTTTAAAATAGCAGAACTTTTAAAGGGATTTTTTTTCCCCCCTTCCTTCCATAACCTGTTTTTACAAAACGTTGTGCTCGTATATATAATATATATATAATATAAAAACATTTTGTATCGATCCAAAACACTTTCCCCCCCCACAAGCGACAGAGACAAAAGTTCCCACACAAGTCACAAGGTTGTTGTCATCGGCAGTGGGGGCTTTTTTTGGTGGCAAAACTCTTTGAGGACATAAACCGGGCCAGCCACGAAACTGGCCATTTAGGGACGATGAATGGAAGGAAGAAACGAGGTGACATCATTTTGGGAAGAGAGGAAAAAGCAGGCAACTCTCGTTCGCCAAAAATATGGGTGTGCCTGGTTTATAGATGGCTCCTTTTTCGTCCACAAAGCAAACCTTGGGAGCTGTTGAAAAACCAGTTTATCCCGCTGCGAGTTCTACCAGCAGGAGCCCCGCCGAATCTAGCGGAGAATTTTCTGCGTAATTACTCTCAATAAAAAAAAAAAAAAATTAAAAGTTCAGGGACCCTTCGGGGCAACGGCTGCAAAAACAGTTAGGATCGCTTTGGCTGTTTTGAGGCAACGCAGAATATCAAAGCGACGCCAGCAGCTTTTAGGGTGGCTTGAGCCCGAGAGCTAACATACAGTTTGATTGCCCTCCGATTGCAGCCTGCAACTCTATAAAAGACCGGGTGAAAATTGGGCACATATATTATTATTATTTTTGCGGATGACCCCAGGCACCCCTAGGATGCAGGGTCGCAGGCAAGAAGTTCCAGAAGGTGTAATTCAAGAAGATCCGGAAAGTCTTTTAATGACGGTGGTTTAGTTCGTTTTTTGGCTCAGCAATCCAGTTAAACCAAGTCAGTTTCCCAGATCAGCCAGTCACTCTAATATGCCAAATCCTTTTTTTTTTCCCCTCTCATCTCCTACCAATTTGATCCCTAATAAAGGAAAATGTTTGTAGCTCAGAGTTAAAATAAGGTGGTGCCCTCTGAGCTTGGTTGTTTTCCTGCAGATGTTTCGTAACCCAGCTAGATAACGTCATCAGCGCTAGAAGCACCATTTGAAACAAACCTTGCTAACACTGATGAAGTTACCAAGTTGGGTCCTGAAACGTCTGCAAGAAAACAACCTAGCTCAGAGAGCCCCAGTGTCCCCACTGTCCTTCCTCCTCCCCTTTTTCTTCACAATCCCAACTCCCTTCTAGCACTGATGACGTTACCCGGCTGGGTCATGAAACGTCTGCAAGAAAAGCAACAAGCTTAGGAACTCTTCCATTTGATCCCCGCTTCTTTCCAAAGTCCTGTTTCCTGAAAGACCCTCCTTGCTGGCCCATTACAGGTCAAACAATTTGGGTGCAGCCTAGAGGGTCTTCCGAGAAAGCCCACCCCTCTCCTTCCTTCTCCACCAACAGACGTAGTCTCCCATCATTTCTTAGCCAGGATTTATATCTACCGTTCCAAATTGTTTCCCTGTTCTTTGGAAGGATCTGCAACCCGCTTACTACTTGCTGCAGAAGGAATACCCAGGGCTCGGATGGAGGTCCTCCGTGGTCTCAAACTACACAGGAACCGAACCTGGAATCCAGGAGGACCGAAGTGCCAAAATTCATAGCAGAAGAGCAAAGACCTGCAGAACCATCTATACGAGACACGTTTGATTGTTTTTCCTGGACTGCATTAGTTGGGATATTTCAAAGGGTTGGTTCAATTCTTCACGGAAGAAAACATGTGACCGATGCCGCTTCTATGCCTGGCATGGTCACGAAACCCAGAATTAATCGGTTTATCTTGTGATGGGTCAGCTCTTCGACATCTGCTTTCAAGTACAGCGCCAAGAGAAAACTGCGAACTCAGCTCAATTTTTTCCCTGGGATTTTCCTTTAAGTGGCGCCACCTAAGCCCAGCCCCTCCCCCCCCTCCGGTTCTGGGTGCAAGTCGCCGTTATTCAGCTTTGGGGCGCAGGAGAAACAGAATTCATAATATCCTCAGAGAAATTCTCCTGTGGCAGGGGTGGCTAACCTTTTTGGGTTCCTGTGCTGTAAACTGCACGCGTGCCAGAAGGCAATGCGCCCTCCCACCACGCCTGCATGCATGCACGATCCCTGTCGCCCCTTTACCTGCATTGCGCATGCGCGCGCTTCCCAGGCTGATTTTTCAGCCTCCCAGAAACTCAAGGGAAGCCTCTGCAGCCTTTGTAGGCCGAAAAATGGGTCACTTCCTATATTTCTGTAAATACAGGAAGTGATGAAACGGGCCTGTTTTTCGGCCTACAAAGGCTGCAGAGGCTTCCCTCGAGCCTCTGGGAGGCCGAGAAAGGCCCCAAACAGGCCGAAAAATCAGCTGGAAGGCACACGCATGCACAGTGCAGATAAGTTTGGCTGGGGCTCATGTGCCCGCACAAAATGGCTCTGCGTGCCACCTTTGGCACCCGTGCCATAGGTTCGCCATCCCAGTCCTATAGGCTTTGGAATAAAAAGGCCTTGCTTATTGCAGGGCACTGTTGCAAAACTGAAAGCTTAAGAATAAGCACCACTCGCCCACAATGCCTGGTGCTAATCCCTCCCACGTCACAACTCCGCTTCCCACCGCAGGCTGGCCAACATTTCCTCCACTCCTTCTCCCGCCTGTTCCGCTTTCTTTGTTTCTTAACGCTTGATTCCAGAGGAGAAATCCCTGTGGGTTTGTAGCATGCAACTTCCCCAAATTTTTTTTCTTCCTTTTTTTTAAAAAAAGAAGGAAAACCTAAAAGGCTGGCCCGTCTGCACCAGGTCCATAACACCTGAGTTCCAGGTAAGGGTTATTATTATTCTTAGGCCCAGCCTTGGCTTGGAGAGCTGCTTTCTAATCCTGAGCAACAACTGTGGTAAGGCAAGGATGTTTTTTTTCCCCCCCGAAACTAGTTGACAACCGAAGCTGCCGCAGGCCGGCTCGTACCTCTGAATACCGCAACACAAGAATCCCAAATAAAATAAAATAAAACCACATCTACCAGCCTATTAAGTGCTTTCCTGAAACAAAGTCGCAGGAGAAGGAACGCCATGCGTGAAGGTTCAGCAGCTCACACGCCTGCTATTTCGTTCCCCGCCCCCCAACGACGATTACAGTTTCAAGATAAAGTCTACCTCTCGATTTTCCATTCCTGACATCCTTGCATTTTTTTTCCCTGTTTGGCTTGATTTTTTTTGTGTGTGTTTTCCAGCTCTCCATGTACCATAAGCTCCTAGCCCCCAAGTTTTCGGAGTCAAAAATCTCTGCAGCCCAGAGAGGCAAAACAAAAAAAATAATAATATTGTCGCTGCTGGAACACAACATGCAATGAAACAAATTCTCCAGACGTGAAGGAAAAGAATAATTTTGGGGCCTCTGCAAGCGTCGGCTCCAGTCGCAGCTTCTCCGAAAAACATTTCCACCCTCTCGGCTGTCGGCAGGGAGAGGAGAAACCGTTCTGATTCACCGTTTTTTTTTTTTTCCCCAATGGTGCCAAGAGCCCGTTTGGCTAAACGGCACACAGAGAGAGTTTGTAACCCAACGCCATTTTCCCTGCCTCTTTCGTGCCGGGCTTAATGTCCCGAGTTTCGGAATTGATGCCCGCAGCGGGCGTTTTGGGACCTGTCGCCCTGTCGCGCCTGGCGATGCGCTCGTTTTCGCTGTAAGCTTCGAGGATTGTCTGTTTCTCCAGCTCGGTGTACTCCAGAGAGAACCGATGCACCTGGAGGATGTGCCGTTTGATGGTGCTGACTTTTAGGGTGGCCAATGTGCCCCCGCACACCATGCAGATCAAACCGTGTTTCTGCTCGTCGTAGTCCATCAGGTACTGCACCCGCCAGCGAGGCTGGTAGTTCCGGCGTTGGCTCCGGCGAGACAGGGCCCCGGCCGGCGTGGAGGCAACCCCTGGAGACGACGGCTGAGGCAGGGCCAGCCTTTCTGCTCCGGGTGCCTCTTCCTCCCTCTTAGGAGTGGCCCAGGCCTCCGGGGAATCCTCTGGAGAGGCAGGTGGCTTGTAAACACGCTGCGATTCGGCTGGAAAGCGAGAACAAAAGAGAGTGACGAGCTTGTCAGGGACAATTGTGTTTTTATGCAAAGGGACAGAGGCTGGGATTCCTCACTGGTTCTTCCCCTTTTCAGCTTGGAGCGATGCTGCTCAACATTTGCAATTTGAAAGGATCTAGACTTTAACTCCAAGAATTAAGGTGGGTGGACTTCAACTCCCAGAATTCCCCAGCCAGCCTGCTTTTAAGATGGGTGGACTTCAATTCCCAGAATTCTGCAGCCAGCTGCTTTAAGATAGATAGACATCAATTCCCGGAATCCCCCAGCCAGCATGCTTTGATATATGTAGACTTCAATTCCCAGAATCCCCCAGCCATCCTGCTTTAAGATAGATGGACTTCAACTCCTTAGAATTAAGATAGATGGACTTCAATTCCCAGAATCCCCCAGCCATCCT